TAACTTGTGATCAATCGTGTGAATTAAATTGAGAAATATCGAAAGCAAAGTAATCGAAAATGGAAATAAAAAATATCAGTTCTCTGAGGTATTTCCTCTTCTTTATAATCTAACAGGTTATTTTTAACCACAAGGAAACCCGTGGATGATCAGGCAAGTGTCATGTGAATTAAAACACAAAAATATGACAAGATTATGATAAAAGGCTTATATAGGGCTATAGCTACTTTAAACTTTAATTAATTCACATATATCATATCAATTTATTTATAAGGTTCCTCAGTAGGATGAGAGAAATCAAAAAAGAAATAATTTTTCATCACCTGCTGCTATACCCAGGATTATAGTGCGACTCAAACTTTCCATTTAAATTAAGTTAATGATGTATTTACAATATTCGTGAATCTATTCATTCCATCGGCAACATCTGATATATAAGCATCCTAATAATTAGGTAATTATTTTATACTCATCAATCAAGTTATTCATTTTAAAATGAAGATCTAACTGTTTTACTTTCAAATCCGGATAATCCTTTTTGATTTTTTCTAAACCGCTAGACAACTTTTCATTAAAACTATTAGTTAGTTCCACTGATAACTTACTTCCTCTTTATTTTTATTGCAAGCTGGTATCAATTAATATTAGGTGCATTTGTAATAAATGCATGCTTCACGTCATGCCTACTAAGAACTTTAGCACATTGCATATTTTACTCGTAGCTTGGTTAGGTATTTCCTCTTTAGTTTGATTATTTTCGCATATATATGCCAACATAACATCATCTCCGCCTATCATGATCAGCACCAAATCTTCCACTTCTATCACTATTGTGCTTAATTAATGAATCTAATTGATTAGCTAAGCAAAATTTGTTGAAAATGAGAATAAAGAAAAGTAAAACATTTTGCTGCTATAGCATGTGAAGCTGCATAATTCTGGCTCTGTTGTTCATACTCTTTGCTAAAGAGTAAATAACTCCACCCTGATTTAAATTCTTCCAGATTGAGATATTATACTACACATTCCACAGCAATGGGACCGTCACTAAATGACTTATCTTGTATAATAGTGCGTCAAACTTCGCACCAGGTGAATAAGACAAGCTGCTCAAGCTGCTCAAAATGCCATTCAGTACTCTTATGTCGGATAACTACCCCCCCTAAAAACATAAAGATTCTTAACTTATTGCTCATTGTATTAAAATTTATAAGCTAATTCTCTTTTACAACATACATCTTACAAAAAAAAAGAATTACAAATAATCATGATGTATATAAAGAAAAGAACTGTTCCAAAAAATCTTCGATAGATGCTCAAAACTCGGTACCAAAGTGAAAAGGTATAAAAAATATACTAATTTCACTAAAAAAGATCGATTATTAAAACGGGTTTCGATCACCCAAAAAAAATAAATTTGAAATTGAACACACGGCATAGATCATCAATAAATTCTTTGTTCATATTTTGCAATACTCATTTCATACTATATGAAGCGAAAAAAAACTATATTTCTAAGTTTTACTACGCTGATTAATCCATAGTTGGTATTATCGGTTCTATGGTCATCAATTTCAGGTTAAGCTTTTTTGAAGCTTCTGGAAGTTTGGGTAATGTGTCTACAGCCCATATTTAAAGGGTATTCCTATCTTTATTATCACCTTAAAGTATATTCGCTATGTAACAAAGCCATATAAATTGGGATTTTATAAAGATTTTTTTTGGTTCTTTTTTTTGATACAATACAGTCATTTCGTTGGTGATGTTTGTGTTATTACAACTAAAAATTAGTTATGCCTACAATGATAAATCAGCAGAATTATCTGGGTATCAATCACTCTTACAGTGATAATACGTCGAATCTCACTGTAATTTAGCTGTAAGCTTATTGATAGAACAAAGCCAATATTGAAGTCATAAAGAGCGTTGCTCGATTTATAAGGCTACCTGTATCTATGTTATGGGTTGTACATTCTATATTTATCTTGCAAAGCTTAATATAAAGCTATAGCAAATCTAAAGGTACAAAAGAAACAGTAAAAATTGTGGGCAATCAGCTGACTTGGTCAGTGATGCTATACAAATACTAATTCAAGTAAATTAATCCATTTCCTCGATTACTACAACAAAAGTGTTGTTATCATATTGACTTAGCTCAACAACCTTGTCTGCATTTATTGCAGGACCCATAGGGTTTTATTATTCATATAAAAAGTACCAGGATGGTAAGGACATAAAAAATCTACTAAGTATAGAAATTCACTTATCTTTGAAACGTTGATTTTTTTCTCAGGTATATTAAATTGCTTACTTAAAATGATAGAGGTTACAACTATATCAAGAAGCCTAGAAAATGTTATAATTTATAACTTTATATAAGCGTCACCATTAGCATTATATATAAACTTTATTTTTAGTACATCAGGCTGACAGGCTATTTAACTAACATCCAAGCGGGTTAGATTAACCTAATACACATATATTAATGCGATTAATAGCAACAACGATGAACTTCCTAGCTTAATCTCCTGGGCTTAAAAATCTCTAGTCTTTAAATAAAGAAGAGATTATAATGACAAAAAATTTCAGG